TGGGTGTTGTATGGAAACCAATTTGACAATAAATTTCATATATAAATTAAAAAAAAAGAAAAAAAAAAAGAAAGATACCAAATCAAAAAAAAAAATCTGTTCTCTCAGTCTTTCCTTCACAGAACATGGTGATTTCAATATTCAAAATTCTCAGTTCTAACCTCTGGAGTCATCTGTTCTCCCATAGTCTTACATACAACATTTCATCCATCAGAAAACACTATTTGTTTTACCTTCAAAATATACCCAGAACGCAAACATTTCTCACCACTCTTACTGCCCGAGTCTAAGCCACCATTATCTCTCAACTGCACTATTTCAAGACACTCCTAGTAGGGCTTCAAGCTTCAAACCTTTTTTCCATACTGTGGGAGATGCAGGAGAGAAGCATCAAAGGAAAAGACTTCACATGGGAAGGGCTGGAGAAGGTGCAAGGCCTTAGGACATGTTTACATAGCACTGCAGCTGGCTTACAAGGAACGCCTAGAGCCATTAACAGTGTCCAAGGCCAGATCCTCCTTCACACCTGACCCTTCCTAGTGTTATAGAAACCAATTAACTCAAAATTCAACCTTGAAAAGCTAAACCATTAGATTGACCAACACACTTGCTTAGCTGACTTTATGCGTGTAGTCTTTAGCAATTATCCTAATAAAAAGAAGCTTCATTCTAGGGTCAGGCCAGCCTCATTCCGACTCGAGTATGAGGACCTTCACTTAACTGCACTTTGTTTGCAGACTCATCTTTTGCGACTCCGGCCATACTCCCTGCAACATCTCACCAGTCTCTATGTACAAGAATCAGAGTAATTCTATTAAGAAGTTAACCTAGAGAATTTCAGCTCCTGTCAAACTGGAATTAGGGTACTCTACTCTATCTCTCCCACTAACTACAGCTAAAAATTCTAAACAAAATACAAAATAAACTAACAGCTTCCTCTGCAAGGTAAACACAAGTGGTAGGGTAGGAAGAAGAGGACTCCAAGGAAGACCTAGTAGCAAGTAACAAGAAATGAAGCAGCTCTTTCTCCTACCCCCATTTGGGAGTAATGTCCCCTATGAGATGGAGCTCTTTTAATTCTCCTGGATCCACCCCAGATGAGATCCAATAATAAAGGTACAGTTACTCAGCAGCAATGACAATGGTGGAGAGAGGGAGATGGCCATATGGCCCCACATATCCTTTGCCCTCACCACCTAGCCTCAGTACAAGGCCTCACTGTGGAAAAGTATGCAATAAGGTGGGAGGAAAAAGCCTGTGCTTTCTAATCAGAACACCAAGAAGGAAAATCAAGGAAGCCCAAAAATATAGAATATCACAGAAGCAAGAGTTGGAGAGAGGTAACTTTTAAATCATTAATACTGGGCTCACTTCTGAGCTGTGCATGCATGAGACTACGCAGAATTAACATGGCCAAGACTTGAAGGATTTTAATAGAATCCAGGATCTCTTAACATTACGTCTGAGATAAAATATGAAATTATTCAACACCCAAAACCAAAACCAGAAAAATCTCAATAACTCTTAAAGGAAAGGCAATTAACAGGCACCAACAACAAGATGACCCAAATGTTGAAATTATTAGAAAAGACTTTAAAATTTTTTTTTCAACGTTTTTTATTTATTTTTGGGACAGAGAGAGACAGAGCATGAACGGGGGAGGGGCAGAGAGAGAGGGAGACACAGAATCGGAAACAGGCTCCAGGCTCTGAGCCATCAGCCCAGAGCCTGACGCGGGGCTCGAACTCACGGACCGCGAGATCGTGACCTGGCTGAAGTCGGACGCTTAACCGACTGCGCCACCCAGGCGCCCCAGAAAAGACTTTAATTCAGTAATTATAACAATACTCCAAAAAGTAGGCAAAATGCTCTTAAAAGAAATGGAAAGATAGAAATTTTCATGGAAAAAATAGAGGCTGTAAAAAAGAATCAAATGTAAATTAATTCAGAATGGATCACAGACCTAAATATTAACTATAAAACATAAAATTCCTTGTATAAAACATAAGAGAAAATCGTCATGAGTGTGGAATAGGTAAGAAGGTCTTAGGTCCAACAATAAAAGTATGATCCAGAAAAGAAAAAAAACTGATAAACTGCACTTCATGCAAATTTAAAACTTTAGTACCATGAGAGACACTATTAACAGAATGAAAAGACAAGCCATAGTTCAGAAGAAAATATTCACAATTCACATATTTGACAAGGAAAGTGTATCCAAAATAAATAATCTCAAAACTCAACAGAAATAAAACAACCACCCAATAAAGCAATGAGTAAAAGATAAAACCCCACATTACAATCTAAATTTCAAATAATGGATTACCTAGCCCTGGCTACCTTTCACTTGTTGCTAATTGCCTAACACCAAATAAAATTGCCTAACACCATTTCATCAGTCCTTTTCCCTCATGAGTTCTTAAGAAAACATACTATCTTATAACTCTCTCCTTATGTACCCCCCCAACTTGAGACTACAAAGTTAAATGTCTCCCCTTTTTTGGCTGCCATTAGTTATTCCCCCTAGCTTCCCCAATAACACATATCTCAGTTCCACAAAATATTCCTTCAAAATAAAAATGTAGATATCCTTCAATCCTATAATACTTAGTCCAGGAATCTCTCCTATAGCAATGCTGTCACAAATTCATGTTCTCTATAGCACTATTTGCCACTTTACAAAATGGAAATGACTATCCACCTTTGGGGAAATGCCTTAATCAATGATGGCACGTTTACTCTGTGGAATACTATGCAGTCACTAAAAAGGAGATAAAATCTGTATGCAGTGAAAAGCCTAGAGAGAGGGAAAAAAGAATTACATAGTGCCTTGTACTGAAGAATAATGTGAAAGTATATGGATACCTAGAAAAATATCAAGAAGCATACACACCAAACTTTTAGCAGTGGAGAGATATTCGTGGGTGGGAGTGATCCTAATCATATTTCTGTACTGAATTATTTTACAGCAAAACTGTATTAACAATGAATTTTTAAAGTATTTTTTAACCTGCATAACTTTAACAAACATATTCATCAGGTTAAACCTAAACCTCCTCAGAGAAAACCATTTTCTCTCATATTAAAGTCTTATTTTCTTTAGCACACAATCTGTCATTAATTTGTAAAACAATTTTATTGTCCCTCCCGTGGAAGGTTAACAGGACAGGGGTCCCATCTGTTTTGCACCGTCCCTCACAATAATTATTATTTGTCTCCAGAAAACTGATAAATTGTAACCTATCAAGAGGTAACACGTACAGGGCAGACCTGTTCCTGCTAAAATTAAGCTGTCAGGGGGCACCTGGGTGGCTCTGTCAGTTGAATGACTTTGGCTCGGGTCATGATCTCTGGGTTTGAGCCCCATGCCTCGCTCTGCGCTGACAGTGCAGAGCCTGGAACCTGCTTCAAATTCTGTGTCTCCCTCTCTCTCTCTCTCTGTCCCTCCCCCGCTCACAATCTCTCTCTCTCTCAAAAATAAAATAAGACATTTTTTTAAAAAGACATGTAAAAAAATAAATAAAAATAAGCTGTCAGTGGCTCTTCACTTAGTAGTGGTACAGTGCCGGCAAGGGGATTGATAAATGTGTACTTAATGAGTGAATAAAGGTAAGTGTACACCTAATAGACCTGGACCACGAAGAGGATGTACATAGCGTTATAAAAAGGAATGGTGACAGAGGCCTAACCATGCTCCGAGTTCGGGGCCTCCTAACCTACAGGCAAGGTGGACTAATGGAAAAGCTAAAACCAAAGAAACAGGCACAAAAAAAAAAAAAAAAAAAAAAAAAAAAAAAAAAAAAAAA